TTGTGGCAAAAGGGTGGTTGGATATGAGAGTAATTTGTGACAGGTGCAACTGCAAGTTGGCACAGGGGACACATAGGTTAGTAGGGAAAGTTGAATGGGCCCCACGTACAGATGCAAGATGGACATTCTGCCTGGGCACAGGGCCAGTTCCCATCCTTAAAGTGGGTACATACTACATATGCAATTTTCCAGTTTTGAGAAGCACGACGGCCTAGAGGTATCTTCATTGAACTGGCCAGCCCCAGATATTTGAGAGTTATTTTACTTATCTCATTCCATGACAATTCAAACTCGGGTCTGTTTGTTCACCATTCATGGGTGTGCCCTTCAGGCACATGGGTTGGTTTAATTCCGATTTATCCCCTCTGCTGCCTTTGTCTCTTTCTGCTTTAAATTCTAGAATGCAATCATCCGCACAGTCGCAGTCTGAGAGACCTGCACTTCTCTGCAAAGCTGCTGTCCTTTCATCTGTTTTGCTGAGCCTGTTTGTCGGACTTTGTCCTGCTAATGATGCATGTATGCCAGCGTGCTTGTCTGCTTAGAGCTCTGAGTGCACGTCTTTGTCCGTGTGCTGACTCTGATTCCATGCTGTGGGCCTGTACGTCGGACAGGGGTGGGTTAGTAGATGGACATAGACCCAGGGGAAGGACTTAAATTTGGTTCTAAGAGGGCATTTGGGAAACAGGAGAATGGACAGGGGTAGGGACTCGAAAAATATTTTCCACAAACTTGGGAGACTCGACGAAGAGGCCTTAGAGTCTGGTAGCTAGCAAGTGGGTCATGACGCACCAGGACTAAATCCCGCGGGGATTAGATCTACAGTCTTCCCCCGAATACAACTTACGGTCATTATAGCTGAATTTAGACTGAAAGATAGACCAAATTCAGCTATAATGACCGTGCGTTGTATTCGGGGGAAGACTGTAGATACGGGTTGTGGATGTTGTATATCAGTCGGCAATGACGTGCCCACGCAACGCGGGAGCTGGTAGGCCAGGCAAGTCACTCGGCCGGTCCAGGGAGAGGTCGAGCAGACTCCGAGTAGCATATTACTTGGTGCAATGAGTGGTGCAGGTATTCACCTGCCAGCGACTTTTCGTTAAATTTTAAATATTTTGCTCGCATGACAAAATTGAACAAGGATTTTTTTTATGATTCATTTTTTGTCACTTTTGACACTTCCAGATGCTTGGACTCCTTGATTGAAGGCAGTATGCATTAACACTAAGTTATCGGCACCAAATTTGAAAAAAAAATGTACAAGAAAAGTCAAAAACATCCTTGTTCAGTTTCGTGGCGTGAGCAAAATATTTCAAATTTGACGAATAGTCAGGCTGTTGCTCTGCCTCGAGGGGGACATAAGGCGGAGCTTTTGGATGAAGAGGAACAAGAGGGTGATGAAGAAGACCTCCAGGGCTATGGAGGAGGGAGGAGGAGAAAGAGGTGATCGCTTGGCTGTGGATGGAGGTAGTAGATGCCCCCAGTGGCCCTGATGTAAGTTGAAGAAGATGTAGTAGTAGTGAAGGAGGAGGAAGGCGGTGGGAACCAACCAAGGGCTTACCTTTGGCTATGGTAGACCTTCATCGTGCTGGTTGGCAGTGGTTGGATTGTCCTTTGAACTCCCGTGCGAGGCATGGATGAGCCTCCATAGCTAGTTCCCTTACCAAGAGGAGAGGAGAGTGACAGGCAACTAAAGGATAGTTCTTTCTTAGATAGCAGTAGCTGAGATCATTCAGACATGATGGGGGAAGATGGAGGATGATGCAGAGCAGATGGTCTCATGAGTAGAACTCTGCGCACACGGTCAGCAGTCAGGGGGGGGGGGG